CGGCGGCGGTTCCTTCCCCTCGGTGTTTGTTTAACGCCTTCGGTCCCGGTGCCAGGCGGGGCCCGTGATCACCGTGAAGATCCCGAAGGACCGGGACGGACGACCCAAGCAGTTCGCCTTCGTCAATTTCAAGCACGAGGAGTCGGTGCCGTACGGGCTGCAGCTGCTCAACGGGATCAAGCTGTACGGGCGGCCCATGCGCATCCAGTTCCGATCAGGTACCCCTGGAGGGGCCGCAAATCACCCTTTTCCTGGAGGGAAAGTGAACTGCCGTCAGCTGCTCCCCAGCCTCCAATGGATTCGTGTTTCATTGGGCACATTTAGGTGCCTCTCACCCAGGGGCCCCTCACCTGCCTGCTCTGCTCACCTCACGCTCCTGTCCCGGTGCTTCCACCAGGGACCATCTGTCCCTTGTGGCTGGTGTAATCCCCTTGGCTAAGCCTTCTCCTTGGGTTGTTACTGATTATTCCTTCTGTACCCTTGAGATCTGTTCTAAATTATCACACGAGCACTAAAAGTCACATCTCGTGGTGGTTAAACGAGGCACATGGTCACAATATCGCTGCCCTTTCCTGGTGGGAATTGTTTTGGAGACTTAGCCCATGTGCTTTTGCAGATCCCTTACAAAACTTGAGAGCAAATGAAGCTTGTGAAAGCTGTTGGTGTCCTCCACACCCGAGTTCCTCTCACTGGTGTTTGTGGGTCTCCTGAAATGTTTGTGTCTCCCCAGGGAGCAGGCATGCAGCCCAGGACACCAGTCTGTCCTGTTCCCCGCTCGGAGCTGCTGGTGCCATCCCTCCTGGAATGCCACATCCAGCCTCCAACTGCAGCAGGTACGAATCCCACCAGCGCAGGAGCCTGGAGTGGAGAGCGGCACTGCACGGCTCGTTGGCTCCAGCTTCTCCTCCCCAGGGCACCGTGGTCTGTCTCCCCTAGGGAGGGGACACGGCCGGGATGCAGACGCCCCTTGGACTGCAGCAGTCGTGTATTTAATGCTGGAATCCCTGCTCTGTTTTCCCTGCAGATACGAGAGGGTTACTGAGGGTGCGGGGTTCCCGCCGAGCCTGCAGAGACAAGCGGTGGTATGTCCATGGCACACGCTCACGGGCAGCATGGGGTGGAGCTGCCTCCCCTTTTCGGAGTCCTTGTTTCCTGTTGTGATTGTGAGAGGTTGTGGGAATATTCTTTTGGAGCCTCAAAAGGACAATTCCAGAAGATCTGAAGCTCCTGGTATCCAGGGTGTCAGTCAGGAAGGCTCTGAGCTGTGGGAGCTCAGCTGTGGGTGAAGCAGTGGGCAATGGCTGTTCCGTAAATTCCCGTTCAGTCTTGCTTGTCCATCAACCCGTCCCATTCTCCTGGTATTTACAGTGTGATCGGGAGGCCAGCACAGGGTTTAGGTGTTTCTCTGCCCCTTCAAGCACCAAACTCACCCTCCCTTTCCCCTCTCCCCCTCCCAGATGAACAGCATGGCACGGCAGCAGCCCCAGTTCGGCAGCAAGTATGAGCATCCCAGCTTCGCCCCTCCCGCCTACCCCCACGCCTTCCACGCCCGCCCTGGGCTCCTCCTTTGCGCGGCGCCCCGAGGGGCGCAGCGCTGCGCAGGGCGGCTGGGCGCCACCCTACCGCCGGACAGCCGGCACTTCGGCCGGGAGCGCTTTGGCCCCGACTACGGCCGCGGCAAGCGGGACGACTACGGCTTCGACGAGAGGGGCCACGACGCCGAGCACCACTACCGGGGCGGCCGGGACGAGCCCTATGATGACAGGCACCGGGACGGCTGGAGCCACGACTACGACCACCGCAGGGAGAGCTACAGGGAGGCCAAGTGGCACCTGTCGCGGCACTGAGGGACTCTGAGCGCAAAGCAAACGCGACCCGTTTCTTACTGAGTACATGTATAAAATGCCTTCCCCGCAAAAAAACCCCCCAGTGAAGTCACCTTTTAGTGTTTGTAAAAATACCAGCAGCCTAGTCCTGCCAAACTCTGGTCTCAGTTTTAAATGCGTTAACTCACACCTCAGGGCTCTTCATGGGGAAAAGAAAAACACTGTGATGGAGTGGGGGAGAAACTGTGGCTGTCAGTGCTTCTGGAGGAGAGGAGGCTGTCTTTGTCAGATGGGCAGGTCCAGCCTTTTAAGCAGAATAGAGGTAGGACAGATGCTGCCTGGTGTCTGCAATATTCCTCATGGCATTTTTGATACAGAATCAGAATCACAGAATGGTCTGGGTTGAAAGGAACCTTAAAGCTCATCTCATTCCAACCCACTGCCATGGGCGAGGACACCTTCCACTAGCCCAGGCTGGCCCAAGCCCCAAACAACCTGGCATTGAACACTTCCAGGGCTGAGGCATCCACAACATCCCTGTGCAACCTGTTCCAGTGCCTCGCCCTCACAGTAAAGAACTTTTTGCCAATATCTCGTCTAAACCTACTCTTTCAATTTGAACCCATTGTCTGATGTTCCCTTTGAATATTCCAATATTGCCTTGGAGAAGAGCATTAAAGTCTCCCAGGGGAAAGCCGGCGGGTAAACCCCCTCCTTCGGGGCGGGGAGCGCGGACCCGGGGCGGGGAGGAGTGCGCTGGGCTGCGCGCACCACCTCGGGACTACATCTCCCAGCAGCCTCCGCGGCGCGCCAAGGCGGGGAGCTCGGGCGGCGGGCGCGGGGCCGCGGGAGGTGTAGTCCGGCGGCGATGCTGGGCGGCGGCGCGCCCGGCTGGGCCGCTGCGGAGCTGCGCCGGGCGGCTGTGGCGGCGGCCGGCGGCGGGCGGCGGCATGGGCCAGCGGGGAACATGGGGGCAGCGCATGGTCTGGGTGGACGCTGGAGGTGGCGGGGCGGCCGGCGCGGGGCGGCGGGGGGGCGGGCAGGGCGGGAAAGGGGGGCGCGGGCCCCCCGGGCGCGCTGACGCGGCCGCTCGCCCCGTGGCAGATGACGGGCCTGGACGTGGAGAAGGACCAGATCCTGGAGATGGCGTGTCTGATCACCGACTGCGACCTCAACGTGTTGGCCGAGGTGAGGGGCGGGACGGGCCTGCCGGGCCCCGCGCCGCTTCCAGGGGCTGCGGGAACAAAGCATCGGGCGGGCGGCGGGGGATCCCCATCCCGGGAGCGCGGGGACGGGACCTGCGTCACGTTGCACTTCGTGTCTCCGGGCTGAAACTGCGCCGTGCTCTGCCTGTGCTTGGGACTAAACTTTTAGTCGCTTCTAAACTTTTTTTCCATTATCTTTTTTGTTCCATGTTTTTTTCCAGGGCCCGAACCTGATTATCAACCAGCCCGACGAGCTGCTGGAGAGCATGTCCGAGTGGTGCAAGGAGCATCACGGGAAGGTAAAAACCCTTCTCTGCCTTCGCCAGATGAGAATGACGTGTAATTCAGAGCGATCAGCTGCAGCACGGCCGCCTTAGCAGGGACAACTCCTGTGCCGAGCAGTTTGCAAGTCAGAGGGGATGGAGGACGGGAGACAGTATCATCCTTATTTTGTAGCAGGGAGCTGAGGCAAAACATTTTGCCAAAGGTCTCACAAGTGATCTGTGGCACAGAGCAAGCTGCACTCAGGAATCGTGCCTTCATCTTTAGCCTTCATCTTCCAGCTTGCCTAGAGCAGCCTGTGCTTTGCAGCCTGGTTTTTAATAAGTTGGAATAGCGCTGGAAGCTACTTCCTTGAGCTCAGGAAGCACATCAGCACCACCCAGCAGCCCTGAGAGGGCTGGAGCAGGCAGGGGGAGCCCGGAAGGGGATCTGTTGCTCAGGGATGTGCCCCTGGCTCCTGTCCCCCAGGGTGTGATCTCAGCCTCCTCCTCCCATTGTGAGGTTGGGAGTTGGGGTTTGACTCCCCAGTCCTCTTGTGGAGCTGATGCCTTGTCCTGCCTCTGTGGGAGCCCTGGTGTAGGCTGGGTTGGGTGGGTTCCTCCATCAGCTCCTCCCGGTGAATCCTCTTCCATCTGACATAAAATAATTCAAAGACTAATTCCAGATGAGAAGGGGAAGGTGAGGCTTGAAGGCCCAAGTAAGAACAGGTGCAGGATCAGTGCAGAATAGTCCAGAGCTGATGAAATGCAGATTTCTGCATGCAGATTTCGGTATATGTGGGATTAAACAGGCCTGTAAACACTGGGATGTTATTTTTGCCTGTCCCCTCAGCACTGGG